AGGCCCTGTTCCCCTCCCCCAGAGGGACCCCACCAGGCCCTGTTCCCTTCTCTCAGAGGGGCCCCACCAGGCCCTGTTCCCCTCTCTCAGAGGGACTCCACCAGGCCCTGTTCCCTTTCCCCAGAGGGGCCGCACCAGGCCCTGCTCCCCTCTCTCAGAGGGCCCCCACCAGGCCCTGATTCCCTCCCTGGGCCCCAGCCATCTCTTTTTCCAAGAGATCCCAACATTCCCCAGCTCCGGGGCCAGCCCTGTCCTGCATACCTGGGCGGGCCCGCTTGAGCGAGAGCCTGGGCAGCAGATCCTGCCGGGCCAGCACCCGCAACAGCTGCATCAGGGGCCCCAGGTGGGCCTCGTCACACTGGCCCCTCCTCTCCAGCTCCAGCAGAAACTCCAGCCCAGAGCGGGCTGGAGGCCGGCCCGGGCCCCCCACTGGGGCCAGGCGGGGCTCTCCATCCTCGGGTGCTGGCAGAGCCTCGTCCAGCAGGAAGGAGAGCACGGACAGCTCCTGCTCAGTCAGCTGGGCGCCCACCACCTGGAACATGCGGTGCAGGGACTGCAGCCCGTAATAGTCCAGACATGCATCCTCCTCCCAGCAGGGGCTGCATGGCCCCCGGGGCCCCACCATCGGAGCAGGTGGGGGGGGTGGTCTACGGGAGACTCGAGGAGAGGAGATGCTGAAACAGAAAGGGGCGGGGGAGGGGGAGGTCAGCATCCTAGGGCATCATCCCTTCCAGCCCCCGCCCCGGCGGCCCCGTCCCGCCCCACGGCGCTCCCCTCCACGGAGGGGAGATGGTACCTGCCCAGTTCCCCGAGGGGAGGAAGGGGGTGGCTCTCGGTCAACCTCTGCTCGGGAGGGTGGCAGGGTCCGAACTCGGTTTAAATGGTCCCTCCCAAGTCCCAGGGGCTCGGTCCGAACTCTCAAGCCCCCCTCCCGCCCAGGCCGAAAGCACAGCCCGGACGCTCCGAGCCGTCGCCTGCCCAGGGGATCGCATCCACTGGGGTACCTCCCCGGGATGCAGCAGCTGGGCTGTTTCTCGTACCTTCTCTGTAACTGCGCCTGCGCCGCGAGCGCCCCGCCCCGCCTCCTCCTACCGCGGCCGCTCACCCGCGCAGGTGCGGGCGCCCAGGGCTGGCTCTGCGCAGGCGCAACGGGTCTTCTCCCCGTGCACCTGCTTGTCCCCCGCCCCCTCCCACACCTGTCGGCGAGGGTCGGCTGAGCATGCGCGTGCCGAGAGCGGGCGGGGGGGGGCGGGGGAGGGGGGGCGAGGAAGGGGGGGCGGGGAAGGACGTAGGCTAGGCATCTCAACCTGTTCACCTGAGCTCACCTGAGGTCAAAGCCGGCCCGCCCAGCCTCGAGTCACTTCCCCCTCTCTGGGCCTCAGTTTTGTCACCTGTAAATTGAGGCTGACGCCACTTCCTCCCGGGTGCCTGGGGGCCCTGCCCCTCCTTGGGCCTAGGTGACCCTCCTCTAGGGTCGGCCTGACCCATCTCTGACCGCCCCCTTGGATTTGGGAATAACGGATCTGAGTTCAAATCCTACCTCGGCCGATTAACCTAAAACTCAGTTTCCTCCTCTGTAAAATGGGGATAACAACAGCAGCCACCCGGGAGGGGGGCAGTAGCATTCGCCAAACGCCGCATAAACGCCCCCCCTAGGGCATTCCTGTAAACCTGATTGTCAGGTTCGGCGTCGTAAAAAAGGCGGTGTTCGCTGGAATTGGACCGGGCGGACCCAGAGGTCCAGGAAGCCCAAGGGGCTACATGTCGCCGAGGTGTGGTTATGAGCCCCCGCTCCTCAGAGGAGGAAACTGAGGCAGGGGCAGCTAAAGTCTGAGGCCGGATTTGAACTCTGAGCCGCCAACGCAGCAGCTGCAAACACTCACGACCCGCGCGATGCGGAGTGGGGTTTTAAAGGAGACAACCCCCAAATCGATCAGGGTTTGAAAAAGCCCCAAACACAGACCCCTCCTTACTGGACAGAACACTGCCCGGGACGCCTAGCGGGTTTGATCCGTCCCTCCACCGGCGCTGGTGAAAGCGCCTGCTGTGTACCTGCCTGCGCTAAGCGCCCGCTGTGTACCTGCCTGCGCTAAGCGCCCGGGGACGCAGAGAGAGGCGGAAGAGCCCTGCTTCCGGGGAAGCCGCCCCCCCCATCCCTCCCCTACCGAGCCCCCCTGGGGCGGGCTGGCGCAGGTCTCCGTACCTGCCGAGGCTCCGGATGGGGAGGGGGGCTGGCGGCTCCTCGGGGGCAGCTGCCCGGGGAGGCGGGAGGGAGGTGTCCTCTGTCCCCGCCCACCCTGACTCATCCCCGGTCCCAAAGGGAGGCCCCGGCTTGGGCGTCAGCCCCAGGGTGGGGCAGCTTGTCCCCGGCCTCCCCAAACACAGACTTCCTTCCTTTCAGGGGCTGCACCCGGGCACGGCTGCGCCCCACCCCCAAGTGGCTTAGACCAAAAGTCAATTACATAAGCACTTATTAAACGCTTATAGTGTACCAGGTAGTCCGTACGTTAAGCAACGAGGAGGCGAGGGGAAAAGAGAAGCAAATTGAGTTGGGTCACCTGGTGACCCACCATGCGGCCTTCCCCGGCCCCTGGGCTTTGGCCGCTTCCCAAATGACCATTTACTTAATCCTCCCTTTATGTCCGGGGTGGAGACCCGGGGTGGGGCTAGAGGGTAGGGCGGCGCGCGGAGATGCCAAGTTGGAAGGGACCTTGGGGGCGGTGGAGAAGTGACTTTCCTCCTGGGTCATCTGGGCACTAAGAATGAAAGGTAGGATTCGAACCCAGGTCCTCCATCCCGGAGCCAAGGACGCTTATCCACTGTAGTGGCACAAGATCGGCCTCTTTTGGAAGGAGAGGTGTGAGTGAGAAGGGGAAGGAGAAAGAGAGGGGTTTTTCTCCTTTGACCCTCACAACAGCTCTGGGAGGTAGGTGCTTATTACGATTCCCATTTTACAGTTGAGGACACCGAGGCAAACCAGAGAAGTGATCGGGGCAGGGCCACACAGCTCGAGTCGCTTAAGAACTCTGGTCTTCCGGGCTCCAAGCCCAGCGTTCTGAGCACCGTGGCGCGGCCTAGCGGCCCTAAAAATAACCGGTCGCTTTTGCCTGTCCCGCGCCTGCGCCTAGGTCCTCCCCCTCCCCTTCAGGCTCATCCTCGGAGAGGTTTGCGCCTGCGCCTCCCTGAGTCCCCCTTTAGTCCCGCCCCTGCGCGGCTCGCCCCGCCCCCGGCACCTATTGGATCCCGAGGCGCCCAATGGGAGGCGGCGATGGTGCGGGGTGCGCTCCGGGCCGTGGTGGCAGCGGCGATAACGGGAGCTGAGACGGCGGAGGGGCCGGTGAGGGGGAGGAGGGGAGGGGGAGGGGGAGGGGGGAGGCCGGTGGGGGGGGGCGAAAGAGACACCGAGAGATGAGAGGCATTGAGAGACATAGATGAGAGACACTGAGGGAGAGACACTGAGAGACACCGAGACTAGAGATACTGAGGGAGAGACGAGAGACATTGAAGGAGAGACATTGAGAGATACCGAGAGACTAGAGATACTGAGAGACACCGAGAGACTGGAGATACTGAGGGAGAGACGAGAGACATTGAGAGATGAGACACCGAGAGACTAGAGATACTGAGGGAGAGATGAGAGACATTGAAAGATGAGAGACACCAAGAGACTAGAGATACTGAGGGAGAGACGAGAGACACTGAGGGAGAGACAATGAGAGATACCGAGAGACTAGAGATACTGAGGGAGAGACAAGAGACACTGAGAGATGAGAGACATCAAGAGACTAGAGATACTGAGGGAGAGACACCGAGAGACTAGACATACTGAGGAAGAGACACAGAGAGACTAGAGATACTGAGGGAGAGACAAGAGACACCGAGAGACTAGAAATACTGAGGGAGAGACATAGATGAGAGACATTGAGGGAGAGACACTGAGTCACCGAGAGACTAGAAATACTGAGGGAGAGACGAGAGACACTGAGAGATACTGAGAGACTAGAGATACTGAGAGACTAGAGATACTGAGGGAGAGATGAGAGACTATACTGAGGGAGAGATGTTGAGGGAGAGACAGATGAGAGACATTGAGACACTAGAGATACTGAGGGAGAGACGAGAGACACTGAGAGACTGGAGATACTGAGAGACAAGAGACACTGAGAGATGAGAGACACCGAGAGACTAGAGCTACTGAGGGAGAGACGAGAGGCAGAGCTGAGCCCCTCTCAGCCCGGGTCTCCCATCTCCTGCAGCTGGGCCCTGACCCAACCAGCAGGAGAGAGCAGAGGCAAGGAGGGGCCTAGCGCTGGACCCCCCACCCCACCCCATCCCCAGTTTAGGGGCTTAATGAACCACAGAGGCCACTAGGGGGCGCCATGGGGGGGGGCCTGGGCAAGACCCTAAACGTCTGCCAGCCTCAGTTTCCTCACCTGTCCAGTGGGGGTCGTGATAGCCCCTCCGTGCCAGGGTGGCTGGTGATAGGAGCTGTGCCTGGTACACAGTAGGTGCCTAATGGGCGCTGCTCTTACTGTTGTCCTCAGAGAAGCAGAGCCGGGGGTCCCGGGCATGGAGCCCTGGGGGGGCCGGTGTGGGAAGGGAGCGCTTCTGACTGGGCTCGCCTCGCTCTGCAGGCCATGGCAGAGGTGGCGGCGGGCCCGAGTGCCCCGCTCTTGCCGCAGCACCAGTACATCTGCTCCGCCTGTGGCCTGCTCTACAACACACTGGAGGAGGTCTTCCTGCACCAGCAGCAGCACACCCAGCCCAGCCCCGAGGAGCCCCGCCCAGTCAGCGGCTCCCTGCCCCAGGACGGCCACTTCCAGTGCTTGGAGTGCTCCGAGCTCCTGCTGTCTCAGGAGGCCCTGCTGGCCCACCAGGACGCCCACACCCGGGACTCAGACCCTCCCATCGGCCCCCTTCAGGGCCAGGTCCAGTACCACTGCGGCAACTGCGAGGAGCTCTTCCTGTCCCCTGACCTCTGGCTGGCCCACTGTGAGGCCTGCCCTGCCCCCGAGGAGACAGAGCCGCTGCCCCCCTCGCCTGTGGCCACGATGGACCCCTACGAGTGCCCCGAGTGCGCGCAGCTGCTGGACACCCCTGAGGAGTTCTTGGAGCACCAAGGGACCCACTTTGCCTCCCTCGAGAAGGAAGAGGCCGACGGAGGAGAGGAGGAGGAGGGGCCCCGCACAGAGGGGGCAGCGGCCGAGGACGAGGGAGCCACCCACGTCCGCCAGTGCGGCGATGGCCAGGGCTCCTGGGGATCGGGGGAGGAGCTGCGGCGGCCCCGACGGGCAGCCCACGCCCCAGCCGCTGCCCTCCATCGCTGCGCCCAGTGTCAGCGTGGCTTCAGCTCTGCCAACCGTCTCCTGGCCCACGGCCGCGCCCACGTCGGGGGCACCCACGAGTGCCCCGCCTGCTCCAGAGTCTTCAAGAAGGCCGCCTCCCTGGAGCAGCATCTCCGGCTGCACCGGGGCGAGGCCCGCTACTTGTGTGTGGACTGCGGCCGGGGCTTCGGGACAGAGCTCACGCTGGTCGCCCACCGCCGGGCCCACACGGCCAATCCCCTCCACCGCTGCCCCTGTGGCAAGACTTTCTGCAACATGACAAAATTTCTCTACCACCGGCGGACCCACGCGGGCAAGAGCGGGGCACCCCCGCCGCCCCCTCCTGCACCGCCCCCGCCCCCGCCGCCGCCTGCTGCCTTGTCTTGCCCACACTGCGCCAAAGCCTTCTCCTCTGCGGCCCGGCTAGCCGGGCACCGGCGGGCCGTGCACTCGCCGCCTGAGCGGCGGCACCGCTGTGGGGTCTGCGGGAAAGGCTTTAAGAAGTTGGTCCACGTGCGCAACCATCTGCGCACGCACACAGGCGAGCGGCCCTTCCAGTGCCATGCCTGTGGGAAGACCTTCGCCTCACTTGCCAACCTCAGCCGCCACCAGCTGACCCACACGGGGGCTCGCCCCTACCCCTGCCCCGACTGTGGTAAGCGCTTCACCCAGAGTTCCAACCTGCAGCAGCATCGGCAGCTGCACAGCCGGTCTGCAGCCTTCTCACGGGCCTCACGCCTCCAGGCTCGTCTGGCCGCGGTCCGGAGCCTGTACGGGAAGGGGGCGGCCAGCAGCGGGACGCCGGGCCGGGCTGGGCAGCGGCACCCCCGGCGGGGCCGCGTGGGGCGGGATGAGCCCAAACCCCAGCCCAGACCTGCCGCAGCCCCCAACCCACCAGCCCCAGCCCCGCAGCAGACCATCATGTGCACAGAGCTGGGTGAGACCATCGCCATCATCGAGACTTCGCAGCCCCTTGCCCTGGTGGACACGTTGCAGCTGTGCCAGGTGGCACTGGGGGCTGGGGGGCTGCTCCACCTGGACGCCGCTTTTGTGTGACAGGCCGAGACAGGGCGGGGCTGGGTTCTTAATAAATGAGTTTGCATTGATGTCACTATGTTAACGAAGTAGAAATTTGCCTTCTTCACATGATCACAGATTGAGAAGGAGAAAAGACTGTGCCAACCCCTCCTTTTTAGGTCAGGAAATCAAGGCTTCCGGAATCCAGTGACTTGTGGGAGCCAAACTGAGCCCCTCTTGTCTGCCTCAGGTCTCCAGCTTCTGGGGGACCGAGGCTGCTCACACCGCAGAGCTTGTTTCTCCATTACCTAAAGGGTGGCAGAGGAGATGTGCCTCGAGGTCAGGTGGGCGTCCTTCAGCTTTGTGGTGGTCGTGGTCCCTAGCTGCCCCGTGAGATCTAGTTTCCAAGGCCCTTCCTGGGCACAGAAATTAAGTGAATTAGGATACCAAAAAGCATCCACAGTGACCCCACAGAGAATCTCAGCACTAGCTCATTTTGTCCACAAGTATCTAACCTGTGGTCTGGCCCGACTACCCAAAGTAGCCCTTTCCCCGCTGGCCCTGTGCCCCCTCTCCAGGAGGAACATCTCCAGGTCGCTGGACGTGGTGTGATGTGGTTTGGACCCCATTCTCTTCTCTGCCCATCTCTCCTGCACCCTGGGGTTATCAGGAGCTTCGGGTGCCTCATCCAAATGAGAACCTGAAACGTGAGTACTCCCCGCCTTGCCCTTCCTGATGAGTGACCAGCCGATCCTGTGCCCTTCAGGCTACCAGCTCACAAGTGCAGAGGAGAGAGAAACTGGGCCCTAAATCTGCATCTGGGGAGAGGGGGCGCTTCCAAGAGCATCTGCCTTGGGAGAAGGCCCATGATGAAGTCCTGACCTTACCAACCCAATAGGAGGGGGAGGGCAGATGGCATTCTCATTTTCCAGAGAAGTAAATCACCTTCACATTTGGCAACTTGAGCAGGTCATCCTTGTGATGAGAAACCACCGCCCACTGTCCCTTTCTGCTCTCCTGAGTAGCCCTTTAGCAGATAAGGAAACCTCACAGGGCAGAGCCCACTCAGCTGAACCCAAGGGATCTGCCACACACGGCAGCTGAACAGACTTGTTCCATCCGCATCACCCAGCCCCACTCCCAGGATGGTCTGAGCCGGCCGGAGGCACTTCCCTCGACAGTGAGTACCTCCACAGCAGTGTCCTGGGATCGCCAAACGCCAGCCCAGGGAACGCCACTGTGTATAGAAAATCCCAAAAAGTCACCCGGTCCGTCAGTCACCAAGCATTTACTGAACACCTACCACATGCCCAGCGCTAGGATTCAGAGAAAGGCAAATGGCCATCTCTGCCCCCAAGCTGCTCAGTCACGGGGGAGACGGGCAAACGATGTCATCAGGACCATGCTTCTACTGGCTAAGTTGGGCGTAATGTAAGGTACCAGCCCTGTGGGAGATCCGGGAATCCAGGGGAGCCAGGAGGCCGAGAGGGCCAGGCCCAGGCGCGGCCAGTGAGAATGCCGAGTCAGGAGATGCAGAATCTTGTTTAGGAACAGCAGTCAGGAAGGCACTGTCACTAGATGGAGACTGGAAAGGTTGGAAGGGGGCAGCTTAGGGAAGGCTTCGTTCAAAAGCCGAAGAGGGTTATTTTCATGTTTATTGTGGAGCTGACTGGATGGCTGGGGAGGGGAGGATGACTTCAGGAAGAGCAATCTGGCAGCAGTCCAGGGTGAGGCAATGGTGACCTGCACCAGGGTGGGGGCCGTGTCAGAGGAGAGAAGGGACTCCTGGGTTGGGAGCCTGGTGCTGCCCTTTACCGTGACAAGCGGGGGCCGACGAGGTCAGTTTGGGACACACCGAATTTAAGATGCCCAATAGGCAGTTGGAGACCCAAGGTTAGGAGAAGAATCGTCAAGGAAACACAGCAGACTATGTTGGGAAAAGAGGACCTGGGACAGAGCCTCGGAAGAGACTGAGGTCAGTCAGAGGAGAGCCAGGGATTCAGAAATGCCCAGAAGAGGGGCCCCCCAGCCAGAAGGTGAAGAGGGAAGGACAGAGGGAGGGGCCACCTCAGCCCTGCAGTGGACAACTGAGGAAACAGACCGGAAAGGGGGCGGGGCGCCGACCAACCCACACAGGGAGTGGCACAGGCCAGGTCTGAGCCTGCTCCTCGAACTTTGAGCCCACTCAGGACTCCCCACAGCCCTGTTCTGCCACCCTCGGGCCAGACCCTGCAGGTTCACAGTCCAGCGTCACACGGGCCCTTATGGTTCCTACCCCGGCCCCGACTCCCCCTCCCCCAACACACGCACACCCCGTGAACATTGGAGCTATCTTTTCCAGAGATGCCCAAGGTCACAACAACAGAGGGTCCGATGTAGACAGTCTTGGTTTGCCCCGGGGCAGTGAAAGGCTGATCCAGGGCAAGAATGCAAGACTTGGCATGGGGCCATGTGTTCAAATCTCAGCTGTGTGACTTTGGTCAGGTTACAGGAGTTCAGAAGGGATGCCAGTGGGTGCCCTCGAGTCCGGCCTGAACTTCCACCAATGACAGCCTTGACGTGAAGCCTCCCAATGACAGAATAGCAGAGGGAGAAGAAGGGACCCTGGCAGTCATGGAGGCCGTGGCGTCCGGCTCCAACAGGAAGGGGAGGGAGACAGGAAAGCATCCGTCGTGGCCTGTGAGCGCCTTAGAAAACCAGAGTCAACTAAGTCTTAGCACATTTTTATTTATTGTGTTAAGTGTTTCCCGAGTACATCTTCATCCAGTTCTGGCTGCACGAGGAGCACTGGGGTCCTTACGCCTGACGCCTGTGATCGGGGCCCAGCTACACCCAAATCACGAATCCTACATCAGAGGCGAACACTGCCAGAGGGAGAGGGAAGTCGCTACTCCTGACTGGCCATCCCAGTCACACTTCTCACCAGGGGAAACCAACCCCCTTCACCTCAGGGCAGCTCTGTGAGGGGTCTGGCTGTGCTCTCTGAGGCCAAACCAGGCACGCCTTACCTGCCCCACAAGACACCTACTAGCTGTGCGTCTCTGGGCAAGTCGCTTAGCCTCTGCTTGCCTCGGTTTCCTCGTCTGTAAAATGGGGATAATAACTGCATTGTTGTGAGGACCCAATGAGGTCATATATGTGAAAGTGCTTAGCACAGTGCCTGTCACACAGTAGGCATTCTATGCACGCTTCCTCCCTTATTCCAACAATGAAGGATGACTTTCTGTTCTCCAGGTGAAACACGCCCAGGTCCTTCACTACGGCATAAGGTGGCAGGATCTCAAGGAGCGCTGCCAGACTTGGCGAGGGATCAGCTCACACTCCAGCTGTGGTCTAATCATGGCCAAGCCCCTCATCTGGGACCCCCCGATCTTCTCAGCTCTTGTGGCCGGCTCACGGGGGGCTGATGATGTCACCACACAAACACGGCTAGCTGCTTCTCCTCTATCTTGTACTTCCCAGATACATCACCTAACATTTATTCGACCAAATTCAGCCCTCCATTCTATCCTGATCCAACAAGCTTGCTTCCTGTGCCTTCATCCAAATCACTGACAAAAACGCTGACCACTTAATGTGGGCCTCAGTTTCCTCCTCTGTAAAATGGCAATAAACACATGCCCACAAGCTACCTCCCCAGAGTATTTATTTGTGGGGACAAATGTTTTCCACCCTAGGTCAGCACTACATGAGGAGGCCTGGCCTGGAATCCCAGCCTGGAAGGGACACGAGGAAATGTGCAGGCCAAGGCTCCATCTCCCGACAGGGTCCCAGGCAGAGCCAGCATGAGGCCTGGGCACCTCCTGACTCGGGCCCACGCCACCCTCCCCAGCTTGCCCCAAGGGACACCAGGGGCAAGGCAGCTCCTTCTCATGCCAATAATTTATTGAACAGAAGTTCTGTACACAGGCAAACCCTACCGTGGGAACTAAGACATCAGGCCCTCCCCCAGCCCCCCCTCCCTGTCCCGGGGGGGGCTGGGGGGACAGTGGGGAGGGCAGATGGGACATAACTGGGGAGGGGGGATGGGCGGCGCGAATCATTGCAACATTTTCTTTAAGAAAAAATTATAACAATCTATTTACACCCGGGGGGAAGAGGAGGGGAGGGCTGAGGAAGAAAGAGGGGCCTGAGACAGGGTCTGGTCCTATTTACAAGGGACAAATGGAGGGTGGCAGGGACGGGACCAAGGCAGGGGGTGGGGGGGAGTGCTCAAACCCCTGTGGCCAAGCCCAAAGAGCCTCTTCCTTCTCTGTCCACCACGCCCCCAACACCCGGTTAAAATCCTCTGTTAAAAAGCTAGCTCGGCCAGCCAGCTCAGTGTGGGGGGCTAAAGGGGTTCCCCTCCTCCACGTCCCCTACCAGGCTCTTGCCTCTGTGAGGTAGGAGGGGCCTGGGTCTTGGCTGTCTTCTCCCCTTTCAGTGCCCCCCATCTAAAAACTGAGCACAGCCAGGGACGGGGAGAAGGCAGGCTCGAGGACCCAGGCCTCCCCCCCCAGGGCTTCCAGGACGGAAGGTGGGAGGGGTGTCCTGGAGGCCCTCAGGAGGAGTTGGCTACAGATGTGGAAGGCTCCTGTCCTGGCAGCTCCCGATTCTCCCCTGAAACTGAGGCAACACAGGAAAGGGTCAATGCCAGGACTCACACTGACCTGCTGCTGAACGGAGTCGTCTTTCGTCGTCCCCCAACTCACCACGTGAGGATGAGGCAGAAGCCACGGGGCTCCTCAGGTGGGAAGGGATGAGGATACCATTGAGATTCGGCTGGATGGAGAGTTCTGGGGAGCGGGGGGAGGCAGATGAGCCCAGCCCCGGCTCCCCTCCTGCCTGTCTGTCCCCACCATTCCCCCCCCCCAACCCCCCCCCCCCCCCCCCCCCCCCCGGACTAAAGTTGAAGAGGGGGGGCAGCTGCCGGCTATTGGGGAGCTGGGCCCCAGGGCTGCGCAGGTCATCGAAGAAGCTGTGGGCGCAGGCCTCCAAGGGGGACAGCCTCGTGGCCGGGGTGTACTCCAGCAGGTGGGAGCACAGTGCGATGGCCTCTGGCGGCGTCCGTGCCTTAAAGACCTGATGCACAGGAGGGCACAGAGGGCCCAGGGCAGCTGTGAGCCTCCTCCCCCAGCGGGCCGGGGTCCTCGGGCCCAGGGCCACTAGTCCCCCCCAACACAAAACAAACTGCGGCCAAACCTTTGTCCATGGATGGGCCTTGATCTGGGGGAACTTAAACTCAGTGTAATTTGGATTCATCTCCCGGATTTGCTCCCGTGTGGGCGTCCCCAACACCTGCAGGGAACGCAGTGACCTTTGCCTAAGGGCTCAGACTCTTGCCCTCGGTGCCACTCGCTCTCACAGCTCACAGACCCTTCCATGCTCACCTTGATAATTTCTACCAGCTGGTCCACCCCACTGTCCCCAGGAAAGATGGGCTGGCCAAGGAGGAGCTCAGCAAGTACGCAGCCAGCAGACCACACATCTGCCAACAGAAAGCCTATCAGAAGGCAAAGGAACCAGTCCTGCCTCCCGAGGTGTCTTCGGCCTCCTCTCTGGACAACGTCCAGCGGGAGGGGGAGACGGCTCCATTCTGGAGGGGCTGCCCCGAGCAGACCACAAGCCGTCAGGGCCGGACAACGCCCCTGCAATCATCTGGAGGCCAGGCACACAAACGGGAGTCCAGTCTGGTGGCAGCAGAAATCTGGTTCTGCCCCGGCCCCATGCCCATGGTCTGGCCCTGACCCCTGAACGGCTGGTGCTCCTGGGGTCTGTGTCAGGACCAGCAGCAGTCACTCGGCCTTCCCGCCCGCCACGGTCGCCAACCGTCCCCATCGATCCTCCCTGACCCCACCCCAAACCAAAAATCAGGCGAGACAGAGAGGATGAGGCGGCCTCTGGCCCACCATGACCCCGGCCTCCTGGCGGCTCTGACCGATGGACGAAGTGTAGTCAGTGGCTCCGAAGATGAGCTCGGGGGCCCGGTAGTACCTTGAGCAGATGTAGGAGACGTTGGGCTCTCCCCGGACCAGCTGCTTAGCACTGCCGGACAATGTGCAAGAGGGGGGAAATGAAGGCTGGTGAGGTCCCAGCACCCCTCCCCACACCTGCTAGCCCCAGGCCCCGGCTCTGCCCACCTGCCAAAGTCACAGAGCTTGAGGACAGCAGTGTCTGGGTCCACCAGGAGGTTCTGGGGCTTGATGTCCCTATGGCACACGCCCTGTGAGTGGATGTAGGCCAAGCTCCGAAAAAGCTGGTACATGTACACCTGGGGCAAGGGGACACACTGTGGTCAGCCTCAGGGCAGAACGCCCACCCCAGGGCCACCGCAACATCGCTGTCCCGGAAAGGGTCAAAGGGTCCTCCAAGCTAGAACCCTTTATGTATTGCCAGGTCCAACCAGTGAGGTTGGCCCCAGAGGGTCTCGATGCAATGTAACCCGGTGCCCTGAAAGAGCAGGCGGTGGGCCCCCCGTTGCCAGAGGTCCTCCAGCAGAGCTGCATGATCCATCACTTGTTGAGAACAAGGCAGAGGTAGAGGGGACTCGGGTCCTGGCTGGGCCACATGCCTTCTGCAGTCCCTTCCAGCCCTGAAAGTCTGAGCTAAGGCCTCTGCCCCAAGACCCTTAAGTGACTGAGAGCTGCCAGCCCCAAGCAGCACGCGGGAGCCCAGCCACACAGTCAGACAGCAGGGCCGCGGGGGTCCCGAGAGGGCCACGGCAGAGCTGGGACACAGCACCCTATGCTCGTCTACCCTCTCAAGCCCAGACGTGGCTTGACGGCCACATTTCTTAACCAGGAGTACACGCAGAGGAAGGTGGCCAAGGCCACAAACTGCCCCATGAAGATCCCCTGCTGAGCCTGGAAGCCTGCGGCGGGAAGACCCTGGGCTGGGCCTTCAGACACAGCCAAGAGCACTGGGCATGTCAGGCCCACAACCAGGCCCCAGCTCAACCACTGCTAGCCGGGAGCCTGGACGAGACAGACCTTCGACCGTGGAAGTGATGATAAAGAAAAGCAAACTGACCCTGTCAGAACTGCCCAAGGAGGGGACGGGCTGCTTTGGGAGAAGTTAGCTCCCCACCCAGGGCAGTCTCCCAGCGCACAGGCTCAGAAACACCAGAGGGGATGCTGGCTCAGCTGAGGGTTAGCCTCCATGCCGTCTGAAGCCCAGGCCAGCTCTTAGAGACCCCTGGGCACAAGGCCCCACAGCTCAGCACTTAGGGACAAAGAGGGGAGAGGCTCGCTTGTGGTCCCTGCCTGGTCACTCACACCACTGTCCTGGCGTCCATCCTGCTCACCCACACTGACTCCCTCTAGCACCAAGGGTCCTGACCCCTGGGGGGAAAGTCCTCAGGCACTGCAGTCTGGGAGCGTGCCTCAGGGTCCAGAGCAGCTCGACTGGATAGCAGAGGCCCAGCCCTCCTGCAGGCCCTTGTATGGCGGGGAGGGGGGGTGCCCACTCTACAGAACAGAGACCAGGCCAAAGAGAAGCATCCTCTAAATCAAGTGGTCCATGAACTTGAGGGGAGGGGCAGTTACATCTATTTTCAATAACCTCTAAATTCAATTATTTAAAAACATGATTCTGGAAAGGGTCCGCAGGCTTCCCCAGACTGCCCAAGGGGTCTGTGGCTGGTTCACGCAAGCCCAGGCCTGCTCCCTCCCCTCCTCTGGCCCTCTGTTGCTGTCCCACCCCCGCCCCCCGTCTGAGACGGCAGGACCCTCCCAAGACTTCACAGCAAGGACGAGCTGGGGCCTGAGTCCCACCTTGACATAGATGGGCGGGATGGTCAGCTTGGCCTTGGTGAAATGCCGTGCCACCCGGTAAACGGTCTCAGGCACAAAGTCCAGCACCAGATTCAGGTAGAGCTCGTCCTTCTGCCGTGAAAAAAGGAGAGCAGGGTGAGGAGGGGGCCCAGGCACTCCCCAGAGCCGGAGGAGCCCACCAGGCCTCCGGGCCTCACCTTCTCCCCACTGGAGTAGAAGAAATAGCGAAGCCGTACGATGTTGCAATGGTCCAGCTTCCTCATGATCTGCAGCTCCCGATTCTGGTGAAAGAGAGCGCTGTGCTCAGGTGGCAGAGCTGAGCCTGGGGGAAGGGGCAGCCCAGCCCCTCTCTTCCCCCTTCCAGACTAGTTTTCTCCTCTTGTGGTCTTGGTCCACTCTTGCCCAACCTCCATTTCCTCCCTGTGCCCTTGCCTCAGACATTCTGTCTCCTGTCCCTGGGATGCCAGACCTCCTGGCTCCTTTCTAGGCCCCAGCCTTCACCAGGCTCCACTCCCCTCCCAGGACCACCCCAGACCCCCATCTTCCATGCACCACTTTTCTCTTTTTCTATGAAGCCTCTGATGCCTGATCTCCCCCTCCCCAAATATCAGAAATTACAGAGTTTAGCAATGAAAGGAACCTTAAAGGAGAAAGTTCTAGACCCATGACCTAGAGCTGAAGGCAGCCAGCCCAACTTCCTCCCTGAAAGGTGAAGGTGAGGCCCAGACAGAAGTGACTCATCCAAAGCCACACACACGCAGTGGCCCAAACAGGATTTGAACCCAGGTCTTCTCAGGTCAAACCCACTTCTCTTTCCACGAGGTCAAACTACCTCTTCCCAATTCGCTGTTCTTTTTAGGAACTGGACTGTGGTCCAGGATGCTACCGGGCCTCCAGGTCTCATAGAAATGCACTTCCTTCCTCTGTCTTCTCCTTCTGCCCCCACTCATCGAACAGGAGCTCAGGCCAACTGTGTCCCCATCACTTCTCCCTTCCCTTTCTGGGATGACACCACGTGTTCCTGGGCCCCAGAAATGAGTCTTTTCTCAAGGCTTTTCCCTTCCCAGACCTCCAGAATTCCTTCTCCCCCTAAGACTCAGATCCTTGCTCAGATCAGGCCACTTCTAATCCCCCTGAAACTAGCACCATCCCGTCCCATCCCATGCCCCCTGGCCCAGGGATCAGCCCCTCTGAGCCGACCACAAAAAGCAGCTCTCCCTTTTTCTTCTGCTTCCCTTTTATCTCTGGGACGGAGCCTCCGACTCCTGATGCAAGCCATCCCAAGCCACAGGTCAGATGCTCCCTGCCCTCCTCTCCTCCTGGCCTCCCTAGCTGCTCCAGAACCCTGATCCTGCCTTAGGATCTCTCTTCAGAGTTCCCTCTTTCCTCTACCTCAGCTCTCCTATCCCCTGGATCCTCCAGGACGTGTCAGACAGCAGCCAGCACTCCTTTCCAGGACCTCAACCTTCGGTTTATCACCTGCGCTCCTGCTGCCCTCCAAACCCTGCCCCTTGGCAGCCGGACCTTCACCCCAGCCTGGGTCTCCTGCTCCCCCAGACCCTACAGCACTCTCCTTGACCCTCGCCTCTCTCTGCTCGAGGACTTAGACGGCGGTTCATGCCCCAGACACAGTCCCTTGTCCTCACCGGGCTCCAGCCTCCAAACACAATTTCCTCGTCATTCTGGTCTCTCTCACCCCTCTGCGGGACTCAGACAGGCGGATTCCCCCCACAGGGGCCAGATCTCCTCTGTCCCCAGCCCATCTCCACTCTGGGTCACTCAGCTCCTGACTCTGCCCGGTTCTCTCCACTGACCTCCACAGCTTGGGTCCCCGCCCCTCCGTACCTTGAACCTCTTGTCCTGCAGCACCTTCTTGATGGCCACCAGTTCCCCTGTCTCCGCCAGGCGGGCCTGATAGACGACGCCAAAGGAGCCATTGCCAATCACCTTGATGTCCGTGTAGGCCACCTCCTGGGAGCGCTCGGGCCCCTGCCCCAAGGTCGCCATCACCGTGGTCACTTTGCCACTGTCACCTGGAGAAGAGGAACATGGCAACTCCCTGCTCTCCCACTGGTCAGTGGAAGGGGTAGGGGGTGGTCACATCCAGCCCCCGGGCCCAGCCCCCTCTGACCCCTGTGGCTGACCTGGTGCCTTTCCCAAAACAAGAAGCTGATCTCAGCATCCCTCCTCAGTTGGGGGGGGGGGAACCCCTGACCTTTAACCTCCAGTCCCTAGGGCCGCCCGACTGCTGGGGGGGAAGCCTGAGTTCAGCCCCCTCAGTGGCAGCCGACCCCCACGACCACCCCCCCGGGTGACTGACTCCTGAAGGGGAGCCCACTCTGGCCGCCCCTCCCTGCCTGGGGCACCTGCACCCCCCCCAAGTCCTCAGGAGGGGAAATGGGGTGAAAAGGGCAGGGCAGGGGGAGCCCCCGCCCCCTACTCACGGCCCAGTTTCACGGCGGGTGGTGGGAAGCTCGAACCACCCCCTCCTCCTCCTCCAGAGCCCGAGGCCAAGGCCACGTTCACGGCCCCCGCGACGCCGCCGCCACCGCCGGTACCCGAGCCGCCGGGGCCGGGACCAGGAACGGGGCCCGGAGCAGGACCCGGGCCGGGGCCCGGACCCGAGGCTGGCGCCGAGGCCGGCGGGGCCGAGCCCGGACCGCCTGCCTTGGAGACGGGGGCCCCGGGGCCTGCTCCGCTTCCGCCCGGCCCCGGCCCGGGCCCCGCCGGCCCCGGCTCCACGAACGAGCTAGTCCGGGCCCGGCCCGAGATGCTGTCGCTGCCGCCGCCGCCGCCGCCGCCGCCGCCGCCGCTCCCCGGGGCTCCGCCGCTCATGGCGCCTCAGAGGCCGCCGCGCTGCTCCCCGGGGCCCCGGCCGGGCCGGGCTGGGTTGGGCTCCGGCTCCGCTCCAGGCCGCGGCCGCTCCGGCCTCCGGCTCCGGCTCCGGCTCCGGCTCCGGCTCCGGCTGCGGCTGCGGCTCCGGCTCCGGCTCCGGCTCCGGCTGCGGCTGCGGCTGCGGCTCCGGCTCCGGCTGCGGCTCCGGCTCCGCGCCGCGGGGCTCGCCGGGAAATGCAGTTCGCGCACGCTCACACGGCCTGCCCGACCCCGCGGAGCGTACTGGGAAATGGAGTCAGCAGCCGCTCGGCGTCGGGAGCGAGGAGGGGGCACGGCCCGTCGCGCATGCCGGGAAATGGAGTCCTCGCTCCACCCCAGAAGTAACGTCATTGGCTCCAAGGCGACGGGCGGAACCAAGACAGGTGGGCCCCGGAGGATGTCGGGAAATGCAGTCTGTGTGCGCTCTCGGGGTGCTGGGTGTACCGAGGGCGCGGAGAACGCCTCAAGAGTCCAGATCCCTGAAGAGCACTGAGGACGCCCCAAGGAATGCTGGGACACGTAGTCTGTTCCCAGAAACTCTAGACTACCTCCTTTTGCGTCACGGACCGCAACGACGAGGGATGCCGGGAAATATACTTCATTGTAACATTAGGTATCTAAAGCCACAGAGGATTCTGGGAGATGGAGTTCGAGACCACCACCCCGCCCCCCCCGTCAAACTACGGGTCCAAGGGAGATCCTTAAAAAAAAACTGAGGAGATGCCGGCCGCAAAGCGAAAAGACTTCTGCCCCGCTCACTGCCTCCGCTCTTCTTCAGCAGTTAGTTGCTAGGAAAGGGGAGGCAGTGGAATCAGTCCTTGCAGCTTGTGTGATGAGGATGCTCGCCTATACGTCACTGACCCCCCTCGTTGGGGGGGGAGGGGTTAGAGAGTAACAAAGCATTCTGGGAAGTGGAGTCTTTTATAAACCGATAAGAGCAGGGAACCAACGCCCTCGCGCAACGACCGCCGGGAAAAGGAACGCTCGACCTTCCAGCTCCTCCCTCCCCCTTGAGGAATGCTGGGAAATGTTGTTCCCGTTTCCCTCCCGGAGCTTCGTTTTTCATTCCTCCCCGCGCACCCATGGAATGCTGGGAAGCTGACTCTTCTCACTGTCCCCCATAAGTATACAGATGCACGTGTACCAACACTCTCTCAATGCTAAGGGGAGATGAAGTCCTCTAGAACACATTTATATGTGTCTCCGGAAATGCTGGGAACTTTCAGCACTTCCTAACCCCGATGAATTCTGGTTATTGGAGTCCTCACATGGGTCCCAGTCTGAACCCACGCCCACCCCGTCCTGAACTTTTCTGGGATTTGTAGTTCTCCCTGAGCGGAGAGTAGGTTAGGGGCAGATAGGCATCCACACAGAGCTCAGTTTGGAGTCACATGTTCTGGGAGTTGTAGGTCTCCACGATGATGGGGGCGGTGTTCCTAGCGGATAGCAGAGGTATTGGAGAGATCTGTGTATGATCGTTGGTACAGGACGTAGAAAATTAAAGTCCAAAGCTGAGATTTGTGCGCACTAGCTGCTGGGAGTTGTAGTTCCTGGCCTGGGCAGGCCGCGCTGCCCCCTGCCGGCCGTCAGCCAGGAAAAGGAATGCGCATGTTCCGACGTGGGCCACGCGGCTCCTTCTGAAGGCTCCGCCCCTCTGGGGGCGGGGCGGGGGCGGGGAGAGGCCGAGACATAGCTGCCGTTACCCAAGAATGTCTGAGAGGGGCGGGGCCGATGCCTAAGCATTCTGCTCCAGTTCTTAGCTGGGAAGGGGCGGGGGCAGGGCTTTTAAAGGGGAAAGGGGCTGAATGAAGAGGGGATGCTTGGACCAGGGAGAAGGGGTTAGGGGCTGAGTGAAGAGGGGATGCATGCACCAGGGAGATGGGTCAAGGGTGTATTTAAAGGGTTCGGAAGAGACTCCGTTAAAAAGGATACTTGGCTCTAGGAGAGGAGGTGGGGACTCGAGAAGAAATTCCAGAAGGGATGGGGGTTCACATCAGGAGGGATGGAGGCAGTAAGGAGAGGGGTACTGTATGGAGATAGGGACCAGGGAAGATGAAGGGTCCGTTCCATGGAGGTGGATGGAGTTGGGGCGGGGGCAGGATGAGGAAGGGCCCGGGAAGCAATGAAGAGGATAGAAAGGCTCAGTCAACAGGATATGGTACTCACTGAAGGGGATGGAGAACTCGGTGAAAGGATGAAGGTAGCCAGCTTCTCTGGGGTCAGGGGAGATGGGTGAAACTGTAAAGGGGTCACCTCCCCCTGATTTTAGGGTCCACCTCCCCCTGATTTTAGGGTCCTGGCCAGTCGGCACCATCTCAGGGAGAGGCTGAGGGGATCCCCTGGGGCTGGGGTCAGGACCAATGAGCATGTCCACTCTTCAGCGCGGACTAAGAGTTTGTAGAACCAAGGTCTCCACCCTGCAGGGTCCCAGCCCCCTCCTGGAGGTGACGACATCCTTCCCTCCCGCCCCCCCCCACTACCACCACCCTCCCAGCAGCATCTGCGTTGCTGGGCAACAACTTCCCGAAATAGCCGGGCGCCTCCACCCCCAGCGGCCCCCACCCCAGGGAGTGACTTACATCACCCAGGAGACTGCAGTGGCCCAGTCAGCCTTCTTATGCCTCAGTTTCCTCCATCTGCCAGCTCCCTCACTCTTCCCCCTTTGGTCTTACCCATCGTTCCGTCCCTGACACTAGGTTTCCCCTATTTGTTCACGTTTCCCCCATCCTCTCCTCCCTGATCACCTTCAATAGCATGTCAAAGACTGTAGTTAAAAGGGGGCCGTTGGCTTATCAAGCTTCTATTAAGCACCAACCGTGTGCCACAACCATGTGCCACGTGCTCCTCCAAGCCTCTAAGCCCAAGGAAGCCAGCTGAGGTGGTTGCCTTACCCCAGCACACACAGCCAGAAGACCAAGGGGCCCTCGAGTTGCAAAGCACTCCCCTGACTCCAAAGTCACGGATTTCATCATACAAGAACCCAGTATAGTAGAGGATGCAAATGTGCCCATTTTTACAGATAAGGAAACTAAGGCTCAGAAAGGGCGACTTGCCCACAGGTACAGAAGAGAAATTAATGGAACCAGGACCCAAACCCAGGTCACTGGCAGCATGGTAAAAGCAGAAAGCTTGATTGAGTTGTTAAGATGTGCTCTCTCTCATAGGCTCGCTGTGTGACTCTAGGCATGTCACTTAACCCAGCCCCAGACAGCTCACAAAGACTAGAAATTGTGAAGCCAGTACTGACTCGCATCTCAAAGGGGAGTTTCCTCACCAGAACCTACCAAGGAAATCTCTTGGGCCCTTCCAACAAACATCTCCCCAATAATTTTTTTAAGACTCACAAAAGTGCTTGACTCATTGAATCAGTAATACAAGCATGACCGTGCTCATTTCAAGGAAAAGGAAGCAGGTCCAGAGTGGCTGTTACTTGTCCCGGGTCACACAGGATCAGCCTTGGGAGCAGAAGGGAGCTATCGGACCTCAGGAGGGCGGCTCCCTGTAAGGTGGGACTTGGAAGGATGGGGAAGATACAGATAGGCCGGCCTGCAGCTAGAGGCAGAGCCTTACAGGGCTCCCTGCCCAAAGCCAGTGGGCTACACCTTGGTCCCAGGCAGAGAGGAAGTGTCGAGCTGTGTGCCTGGTAGAAAAGCCCCCTCTTCAAATGACTGAATGATCACACGTCACAGAGTCCCAGGAAAACGACCACTCCTTTCAAACAGGGACAGCTTTTATACCCCACTTGGATAATATCTGTTGGGATGGATGATGGAGGGGAAGGGAGGTGGGTGGCTGATGACCCCCCTCTCCCTTCTTTCTTTCCCTCCATCTTGGAACACAGATGGACTTCAATGACATCTAGTCCACCCTAACCAGGCACTTTAGGAAACAGGGGTCTCTGAGAAGAGCCCTATGAGGCAGGAGCAGGCAGGGTTCCAGCCCCAGCTCTGGGCCCTTCCCTTCAGGGAGCTCCCCATCTGTGTCTGACCAGCCAGGTTCAACATCCAGGAGTCCTCCAAGCACTGACTTCTATGGCCCTTTGTCAAGCCTCAATGTCCGCCAGGTCTCCCCAATATCCCCAGCCACAAAAAGGACCTAATGTAATGGGGGGCGGGAAGGCAGCCACACACTGTGTAAAGATCCCAAAATTTTTATTGTTTTTGATACATTCTCCAGGTCCCTCCCTCCCCACCCCTGCTATACAGAATAAGGCTGATTGAGTCCCTCCCCCACCCCCCCAAAAGTTCCAGTTCTGTTTGGTTTGGGCCCCCTCACCCGGGAAGCATGTATGTGTGTGGGGTGGGGAGGCAGGAGGAAGGGACAAGGGAGGGATGGGCACAGACCATCTGGGGAAGGGCAAGAGGGAGGGGGGCAGTAGGCACTTGTAGAGAGAGAGAGAGACCTGTGGCCCCCAGGAGGGCAATGCCACCTCCCTCCCCACCCCAAGAAGTTTTTGGTTAAGTACAAAGTTATTCCCTCCCTTTCCCCACCCCACCCCAGACCTGGTGGGTAAAGGCCAGCCCCAGGCACTGACCCCCCCCTCCCCTACACAAAGGAGGGGCAGGGAAGAAAGGACAAAAAGGCTGGGGGGGGACACTGAGAGACTGTGCTATGGCCCCAAGGGGGGGTGGGGAAGGGAGATCAAGGCTTCATTTCCTAAGCTGTAGTTATTTTTTTTTTTTAATTCCTGTGCACTTCTGAATCAGGATAGAGGGAACCTCGGTTCCAATAAAAATTGCCCCAGAGAGGTTGACCCCCTCCCCCGCAATATGAACCCCCCCTCCCTCCCCAGGGCCTAAATACAGAGATGGAGGCCCTGGGATCCCCCCACTCCCACCCATTTTTAAAAAAAGAAAAACCAAAAAAGTTTTATACAAAAGAGGAGAGGGCAGGAGGAAGAAGGCAAGGGTCCAGGAGCGTCCCCTGGCCTGGGGGAAGGGGCCCCAAGAGTTGTCTGCTCC